AATTCAAGAAATCTCAAATTTGCGAATATTGTAATGAGCCTGATTTTATAGAGCATTTTTTAAAACTGTAAGAAGGTCCAGCCATTTTGGAGAGAAATTGAAAAAAGATTCACGGTAAATGAGCTTTTTCACACCACGCCCACTCCTTGTGGAACGCTCTACCAGCTCATCTACGGGAGTCCACTACTTTATCAAAATTGAAATCAAAACTTAAAACGCATTTGTTTCAGTCCAGCTTCAATCTGTAATTTCCGACATTCCCAATACAAATATTATAATGTTCTCTCAGTATCTATTAAGTTCTCTCAGTATCCTTTATTCATGCTGTTCTGTTCTGTAAGAATTTATGACTGTGTGAATTCATCAATGTGTGCGAGGGTGTCTGGGTAAGCTTTGTGGGATTGTCTTTACTCAAGGATGTACTGGAGAGAGAGAGAGAGAGAGAGAGAGAGAGAGAAAACGAGAGAGAGAGAGAGAGAGAGAGAGAGAGAGAGAGAGAGAGAGAGAGAGAGAGAGAGAGAGAGAGAGAGAGAGAGAGAGAGAGAGAGAGAGAGAGAGAGAGAGAGGAGGATTACTATAGGAGCTGTGCGCTTCATATGTTCTTTGTATTATTGTACAGCGCATTGAGCACTTTTTTGTGGAAATGCGTTATATAAATGAAATGTATTATTATTATTATTATTATTATTATTATTATCATCATCATCATCATCATCATCATCATCATCATCATCATCATCATCATCATCATCACCGACTAAACAATTCCCCTTTCTCTTGTTTCGTTTTTCTAGAAAACATAACAATTTGCACGATGTCAGTACATACTTACGTAACCAGCAATTAATATGGGCACCAAAATCAGGACACGGGGCCAAAAGAGGGTACTCAAACTTTGTTACATCCCTCTCCAGCACAATTAGGTACAAGAATAAACCGAACGAAAACACACAGACGACAAGCAGTGAGAAATAAGAGGATAGACTACACCCAGTGTCCAACAATGCAATCTTTTGACGTTATGGCGGTGACAGTTAAGGAATCATGCAGAGGGTCGTGGTTCGAATCTTTATGAAAAAGGAACCCATCTCGTAATTCTTGAAGGAGAACTGAACTGGTTGTTGCATAGATTTACCCTCCCGTTCAAAACTATGTGTGGTAAGAAAGAAGGCCGCTGATTGGTCGAATGCAATCGGCTAAGTGAATAATGGTTCACGATGCAGGTGCAATGGATGGTTTCCGGGAATAGATTAAGTTCGTTGTGGGAGAAAAATGAGCAAAGCCATGTCTGCCGGGGCTGTTCACCCTGGAAGCGACCTCGTTGAATCTGAGCTCGCTGATTTAAGTGCTCGTTGAATCCGGGTTATTTTTCTAAAAATTGATTTTAAAGAAGAACCCCCCCCCCCCCCCCCCCGGGGAATCCATCTCCTTGTTGAATCCGAGTTCCACTGTATATATTTGTATCAACACCACAACAGCACAAAAAACAACAACACCACAACAACACAACAACAACACAATATCAACATCACAACAGTACAAAAACAACACTATATCAACATCATCATCATCATCCGGTGCCTTGCCGACTGGCGTGGGCGATCATGGACCTCCACTTCCATCTGTCTTTCGATGCAGCAATGGTGTCTGTTGCTCTTGCTGCTCCCAGCCATGTTGTCATCTTGTCCAGTATCTTTTCCCTCTGTCTGCCTCTGCCTCTCTTTCCATCAAACTTTCCTGTTGTTACAATATTCCCTAATGCTTCTTTCCGCATCGTGTGTCCGAAAAAATTTGTCTGTCGTTTTCTTATATTCGTGATAGGTTGTTTTCTATAATTTGCGTCATCCAGGACTTCTTCATTTGTTTTTCTAGCTGTCTATGGGATACGTAGCATGCGTCTTATGGACCACAACTCCGACGCTACAATTAACTGTTCTTTCCAGCTGTTTATTGATTGTCCACGCTTCGCACCGTATAATAGGATTGGCTTGATGTAACTTTTCAATACTCTTTTCCTCGTTTCCAGTGACAGATTGATTTTTGTTAGTATCTGTTTCATCTTGTGGAAGGTTGCTTTTGCTTGGCAAATGCGGCTTTTAATTTCGGTGTGACATCTACCATCTGATGATATAATGGTCCCCAAATATTTAAAATGTTGTACTTGCTTGAGGGTGGTATCATTGATTTTGATATTGCATGTTGGGATTGGAGTATTTCTGCTTTTCACCATCGTTTCGGTTTTCTTGATGTTTAGGCTTAAGCCCATGTTGTCACTCTCTTGTACGATGACATTTAATAGATTCTGCAGGTGTTCTTCATCTTCTGCTATTAGGACTGTGTCATCTGCATATCTTAGATTGTTTATATTATGTAACCCTATCGAGATACCAGGCATTTTTTAAAATGTGTCTCATGATATTTTCACTATACATGGAGAACAAGTCTGGAGAAAGTACGGCACATCCTTGTCTGACTCCTCTTTTAATCTGTTTGAATTCACTGATGTCGTTTTCTATTCTCATTGCGGCAGTTTGATCCCAGTACATGTTTTTGGTAATCCTTAAGTCCTTCCCATCGATATTAAGAACTTCCAGCATGTCGATGATCTTGTCGTGCCTGATTTTGTCGAATGCCTTGGTGTAGTCTATAAAACATAAATGAAGATCTTTCTGAACTTCTAGGGCATAACATCACAACAGTACAAAAACACCACCACAGCAATGCTACAACAGCACCACAAAACACCACAAAACTACAACAGCAAACAGCAACAGAAGAGTAGTACTGCTAGATCCCTGGGGTGTAGACTTTCTTTTAGTTTTAGTTTTTGTGAGTTTTTACTGCCCTCGCAGCTGCATAAGGTCATATGAGCGCCAAGGGGTGGAAGTGAACAGAGAATTCCATATAGGGAATCAAGCTTACTTCGCTCACCTCTCTCTTCAACAACGCAAAGTCTGCTTCGACTATCAAGGCACCCCGAAAATAGCGGGTCACAAGAGAGTGACAAATATACAAAAGAAGTAGAAAGAAAATGTGGATAGTAAGGATTAGGAAAGAAAAAGCAGCAGTTCCCCGTTTGCAGTTCAAGCACAGTTATGAGCATTACATTGATGAATCAGCCCATTTACAATTCTACCAGAGACATAGCAAAGTAAACGAGACAGTACAGCTTGGGGCAGACAGCGAATCTGGCCAATCCCGTGACAACAGGAACTGGGGAGGTAAACTCAAACAAACAATAAACGAGACTATTCCTAAGAACACACACTGTAAGTGATGTGTCGCAATAAACTGCACTAATTAAGACAAAACAGACGGTCTGAATTAGCTTTTTCCGTTTTCCTAAAGACCCTGAAAGGTAAGTCAATTGGTGGATAAGTAGATAACGCTTAAATAGCGTATTATTCAGTCAAAATATTGTTCAAAATACACACCTTTGTACTCACCATGAATGAAAGCGTGTGTTGTAACTTGGGCACTTCTGATTGCGGTCCCATTTGCACTTAGTGGCCCAGTCCTTTGTTTCTTATTTAGATCTAAACTGAATTTAAATTATAAGTAATCTAGATCTAGAATCTAGATATCTAGATCTAGATAGAGCTATTGCAAATGTAGGTTTTAGATCTAGGCTTCCTCGCATCTGGAGATAGTTTCTTTGGTTTAGATCTATCTAGATCTAATTCAGTGCTCATCTTTCTGTCAAGATCTAGAAAACAATGCATGCTATGTTTTTAGATCTAGATTTTTAGATCTAAATCTAGATTCTTTGGCACAGATATGGTGAGTTATATGATAAATATCTCTTGCTTTTTCTTTCTCTCTCCATTTTTCTCCCTCGTTCTATGAAGCTAGATTTACTTACCTCGTATATTTGATAAGCCAAAATTGTCTAGAATTTTAATGATGTTATTGCTGCTCATAATCGTTATTGTTGTTATCTCGCTCCCCCTTTCTCCATATTGATGATGTTGCTGTTGCTGCTGCTTTTGCTCCTGGTGTTGTTGTCGTCATCGATGTTATTATTGTTCTCTCTCTCTCTCTCTTTCTCTCTCTCTCTCTCTCTCTCTCTCCCTCTCTCTCTCCCCTCTCTCCCTCTCTCTCTCCCCTCTCCCTCTCTCTCTCTCTCTCTCTCTCTCTCTCTCTCTCTCTCTCTCCCTCCCCCCACCCACTCTCTCTTTCTCTATTTTCTTTCTTTATTCCTTTTTATTCTTCTTTTTCCACTTTTATCTAATTCTCCCCGCTAAGCAGTCTGTAAACTCGAAGGGTTTACTCTGAGGTTCAAATAAACCCCCTCCCGCCTGCTTATTCTTTTTGGGGGAAATTTTGCCCCCCCCCTCGATCTTATTGAGACCCCCCCCTCCCCTGCTTATTAATTTTTCGCCTGAGAAGGTCGGAGTAAAGTGCAGCAAGTCACAACAAAACCTTCTTTTGGATCTCTATAAAAACTTGCAAACACAATTTGTAAAATTATATCCCTGTTTGTAATTGATTTATATTATAATATTCCTCGCAATAAGCATGTGTAAAAAATAGGTACTAGTACCCCCCCCCCCTTTTTTTTATATTTTGGAACCTCAGAGTACACTAACAACTTGGTTTCGTTCACCCACCTTAGAACAATAACAGGCCTAACACGAGTATGTTTACCGCCCCAGGCTATAAATAGAACAACTCTCTTCGCTTACGTTGCGTGTAGCACTGGTTGTCACAGACAGCGCCGCTAGCTGTACTGTCTCGTTTACATTGCTGGGTCTCTGATTCTACTGTGCATAAGAACATGTTAATATTCCCCCTTTGGGAATGGCCTAAAGACACTTCAGTCAGTAGCACCACCCCGGGGTGGGGGGTCGTAAACTTTCTTATTACAATGGTCAATAACAGTATATTGCAATCCAGATAATCACAGAAAGATATTTGAAGAAAAAGGACAATACAATAATTATGATATAATAAGATACTTATATAAAAATGAAAAAAGTAGACCAATGAACAACGGAAAATACCTTCCATCTTGCAATAGATTTTAATAAATAGGCCTACCAAGTAAATAGCCAAAAAAGGGAAACATTAGAATGCCAATCTGAATGAAAGCTAAATAAAAATACTTATCAGCGCGCTGAAGGCCCTAATATTACTCTTAAGATCTTGGTTACATTTTTTTTTCAATTTTTAAAAAATCTCTCAGTCTCTTAGACGCAGAAAAATACTTTATTCAGTCAATCTTGAATGATAGGAATCAGCACACCCTCTCGAAGTCTGTCGCCTTGTTCTTTGCACTGAAGAATTGCCTGGTATCTGTAGAATGAAGTATAGAGAACTTTATGTACATGTCAAACCATTTATGTTTAGTTTAACAACACTACAGTATATTGGCCAACTATAAATGAGTTGTGCAGAGAATGTCGGCAGGATAGCGGGCGACTTGGAAAACTGAGAACAATATTGTTGGTTCAATTCTTGAACTTTGTTCAAGTCAAGATGGTACAAAATCATAGATAAACGGTTGAGAATTGATTTGTAATGTGTGTAAAAGTGTGTTCTTTGTACTCAGGCCCGGATTTAGGCAACTCGAGGCCCTGTGTTACTGACTGGTTGGAGCCCCCGTCATGCCCCCCCCCAAAAAAAAAGCCTTATCCTTCCAAAAATAAATAAATGAAAAAGAAACATATTTGCTTGTTGCTTTTGCTGTTGCTGTTGTTGTTGTTGTTGTTGTTGTTGTTGTTATTGTTGTTGTTGTTCCTGTTGTTGCTGCCGCCGCTGCCGCTGATAGTTGCGCATATCATGTCATAAATGAAAAAATCTTACCCTAAAATATTAAACTACAAAGTCTTTTTTTTTTTTTTTTTTTTTTTTAAACTGCGAAGACCCCAATGATGTCGTTGAAATCCAGTTTCCTCTTTTGTCTGACCCAAAGCTCAGGATACTGAGATTTGACAACCTCCCCTGGGCCATTGTAGATCTTGCTTCATTCTTCATTCTTTTCAGTCCTGAAAATGATCTCTCGCCATTACAGTTTGTCACCATCAGGGTATGAAATAGTCAGCGAGTGATCTCGACGTTGGGGAAAACTGCTTGAATGTTGTCTTTTGTGAGCGCATTATACATTTCTTGGTAGCTATGTTTTTCTTTTTCAGGATATATTTGTTTCAGATATCTCTGAAAGTGCACGAGATCACCCGCAAGGTTGGGATCCAAATCATTCAGGTACATGTACTTCGCAGTCAGTTTTTCAACATTGTCTTGAATTTTCATTCTGCTTGTAGATCTATCTAATTCTTGCAAGAATGAAAATTGCCCTGACACTTCTTTGTATACAGTTGCTCTTTTCATGAGATTGGTTGATAGAGCGTCTATTGTTGTAAAGAAAGATTTTTATTTTGAAACTTTCCCTTGCAGGCATGTTGTCTAGTGCGTTGGGAGAAGGGCCGTCACCCGCATGTGTTGTTCTTTTTCTTCTTGGGGTTTTGTAGTCAACACCTGGCAATGTTTGCTGCGCATTTTGCTCAATTTCATCAAAGTCGTCCTGGGTTGTTGAGAGAAAGTCGTGCAGAGAAGTATAAAGATTTGCACAAGTATTCAACGTCACTTCAGGATTCTGCAATGTCTTGCTGTCTTTGAGGCAACGTTCAAGCAGAATTGTCAAAAGATGTAGCATGAAGACATATTCCCATCTTATTCTTCCATCTTTTGATTCATAATTCCGGCCTTTCGTCTGGTACCACCCTTCTCGTTGGTATCACCTTGAATGCTTTGCAAAGCCTCTATTAGTTGAAGGTAGCTATCCTTACTGCAGAAGTAGCTTTTGCATGAGTCTCCCACCTTGTATCAGATAAATGTTGGCAGGGGCGAAGGCTGACTTGTTTGACAGGGTAATCAAAGTGAAACGGGACCAAATATGGCCTGTAGATATGACACAAGAATCTTACTCGAGGCGGCGACTCTGAGTTGTGAATGAAAACAAATCCGGAATTCATATTGTATGTTCAACCGCCAAAATAATCGGGAAAGTATCTTATTAAATATCAGTTCCAACTAAAATTAAATTTAACTTTAGATGTGAATACATAAACACAAAGCAAAGAAGCAGAGACGTCATTACTAGATCTATAAGTTATAGATCTACCAGTGAGTCTAACTCTTTGATAGAACATGACAATTATTATTTTTTAAATTTTACATTAGGCTGTTTTTGTTAGCCTTCCGCGGCCAGGAGCTGGTGTCATAATCGAGGTCACGATCTGATTATAGGACGGTAAAAAGTCGAGGAAAAAAAGCAAGCACTTGCAACAGTGAAGAGATTGTTAGGAGTTAGTTCCCCTCACATTTGTGAGGTAGACTCGACCAGTGTTAGTTAGCTTACATAATCAGGGCTTGAGATTGATTTTAACTGTGACCCAAAGGGGTGAACAGGGTATATGTGGCAATAAAACAGCTTAGACTGCTATGCACATGTTCCCTTCAACTATATTGGTGGACTCTTCCAGCCTCACTTTAAGCTTACTTAATCAAAGCTTGCGACTGCTTATGGAGTGGCCCGAGAGGGGTGAGGAGGTTATTTCTGTGGCCGTGAAACCGTTTTGAATGTTAGGCATACTGTTCATTGTTGATTACGAACGTCTTTTGACATTTAATTTAAGAGGTTTACGTTTATGGATGAATTTGACAGCGACAATGTTTCAAAATTAGGAAGGGAAGCAGTGATTATTTGATTATATAGACGCTTCGCCCCTGAATGCTGGGCGATTTTGACTTTGGTAATAAGAAGAGTTTTAGAGTGGCCCACCGTTTTGTTGAAGCAGAGAAAAAACAATATAATTCGTTTACGATCCCAAAGAAATTAACTGCCTTCGAGCATGAATTAACAACGACATGCCCTATAAGGCTAAGAGAATGACCGGCGCATGGAATAAATTTTGCAAATTTATTTTTTTCTCCCAAATTCTTTGTTGGACTCCATTATACTTGCTAGACATGTTGGCTGCGTTGTCGTATGACTTATCTCTACATAAAATTTACTGAAATCGATTCCAATTTCATCAAAATAATTAAGAATCAGCTCTGGAATGCCATTTTCCTTGTGGTCTTAAAGTTTTAAAAAATGCAAAAACCCCTCGGTAGGAATCCCATCCTCGGGAGATACAAATCTAACGATGAGAGTGATTGGTCAACATGTGAAACATTGGGTGTCGAGTCCACTGATATACTGAAGTACCCAGCTTGTTTGATGTAATTGATAATCAAACTTCTAACTTTATCGGCCATCAGTTGTATTATTTCCTCACAAATTGTTTTTGACAAAAAAGATGTTTGGCCAGACCCTCTGTTGCCATGCTGCTTGATGTGCTCACGTAGAAACGGGTCGAACTTGGCAATAAGCTCTAACAATCCCAAGAAGTTTCCATTGTTTGGTAAACAAAATGTTTCTTCATCTCCTCTGAATGTCAAACCCCGCTCTGACTTACATCTAGATCTACCCTTCATTTCATCAAATGTGTCACGTTATCTTTTTTCTAGTCGAGATAGGACCTATCGGTTCTGAAACCATGTTATCCCAGCCTTCCTTACCCGTAGAATCTTGATTCTAGATCTAGATTACAGTATCTTTGGTTACAGTACAATAAGATGAAATAGTCTAGTACATCGATGAAAAAGGACAGATCTAGTCCTGGACTAGATTTATACAGAACGGCTTTGCTCCAACACAGCATTTGGCAGGAAAAACATGTTTACATCGGATGTTGCGTGATACTCTTTTTAGGGGCCAAAATAATTACTTTCAGTTTTTAATTAAAAAGAATAGAGTCTTTAGCTACATTTCGTTTATTGCATGTTATTTTTTCTTTTTACAATTCTTACAACTGTTACTTGTTACCTTCCCCAACTCGAAGCCCACTTGGTCATAGTTTCCCCTTGGCCCGAGGCCCCCCTTGGCTCCGAGGCCCTGTGCTTAAACACGTCTAGCATATGCCTAAATCCGGGCCTGTTTGTACTGAATGTATCCGACAAGGGATGACAAAATGTGTCAGGAATAGTAGGGGAAACATAAGTAAATGAGTTTCTGCAAGAGCCTGTGGGCCCTATATATAATACGTTTGCAAATAACTGGTAAAGCCAATGTAACAGATCATGAACAGATGACAAGCGCGCTCATATGACCTTATTATGCAGTTACGAACGCCGTAAAACTCTTACAAAAACCAACAAACAGAAGACTCACTAAAAGAGAAAAGACATTCTCTGAGCAGTCCCGAAAAGCGGATACTCACGGTTCAGGGTCTGCCTCCTCGCCCAACTCAATTCGTTTGTCGTTTCTCTCCACCTCCAGGTCCAGTTGAATCTGAACTAGTCTGCCAAAGAGGTCGCTGGAAAGAATGAAAGAGGGGGCCACCAAATTATTGTGGAAGCCATTTAAGCGGATAGATTATAATACGATTCAACCTCGAAATTTCAAACGTTGCTAGATGAGATCCTTGTTCAAACCTCGAAAACCTTTGAGAGTTCTACATGGGTATGGGTCTAAATCATACTTGCAGACTGTTTTCTTTCTCAAGTAAAGCGTCCTCAAAATTATTTCCTAGCGTTACAATTTAATGTCTCCGTCGTCTATTATAAAAACGTTTTAATTTATTTCTCAAGATGGATTTTTTTTGCTCTGTTTGATCAATCTTGTACCCTACGCTTCATTAAACAAGATTCGTCACTGTTTCATGAGATAATAAAACAAGTATAACGAAATAATGGCATGGTATGAGATTTCACGTTGACATTTTGAGCTGAGAGCATACTAGAAGACTTTTTGCTTGTTTTTTTTGGGGTTGGGTGTGGGGAGTTTAAGCAAATTGACAGATGAATAAATACAGAGCAGAATAGCTCGCAAAGAAGTGGGGGGAAAGAGAGTGGAGGGGGGGGGGGGGAGACAATGATACATAAAGAGGTAGTCGTTATTACCTGTCACGTTTTGTGACGGTAGCTCAAAATTATGTGGCGTGACGGTCCTGGGCGAAGGCTGACTTGTTTGACAGGGTAATCAAAGTGAGACAAAGAACCAGATAGAGAGGAGGTCACGCGAATAGATTTCCCACATTAGGAACATAATAAACAATATTTCTTATTCGAGGTGCCATAACTGAGTTGTGAATGAAAACAAGTCCCGAATTCATTCTCGTAGGTTTAACTGCGAAATATATAATTAGGAAAATACCTTATTAAATATTTATATTCCCACTTTGAACAAAACGTCCACTAAATCTAACTAAAAATGTGAATACACAAACAGAGAGCATAAAATCAGACTTCATGTCAAAACTGGCTGTTTTTGTCTAGCCTCTTGCGGCCAGTAGCCGGTGTCATAATCGCGGGCATGTGATCTGATTATAACAGGAACATTGTGGCAGTCAAATTCACTCATAGACGTAGACCACATAAATTAAATGTAAAAAGACATTCATCATCACCAATGAACAGTATGCGTAACATTCAAAACTTCTACATTGTCATATAGATACCCTGTTCACCGCTTTCAGGCCATTCCACAAGAATTCACATGCTTTGATAAAGCAAGCTTAAAGTGAGGCTGGAAGAGTCTACCTAAAGAGTTGAAGGGAACATGTGCACAACAACACTTTAAATACCCTGTTCATCCCTTTCGGGTCAGTGTCATAAGCAGTCATGAGCATTGATTATGTAAGCAAACTATTACATTGGTTGAGTCTACCTCACAAAGCTGAGGGGAATTAACTCTTAATAATCTCATGACTGCTATGAGTGCTTCTTTTTTTTTTTTTCTTCGACTTTTTCACGTCCTATAATGAGATCGTGACCTTAATTATGACACCGTCTCCTGGCCGCGAAAAGCGAGACAAAAACTTCAAAATTCAAAATCAAATAGGTAATTGTCTACTATTACTTGTAGTACTGACATCTCTGCTTTTTTGCTTTTTGTTTGTGTATTCACATCTATTGTTAAAATTAGTTACTTTCCCGATTTTTTGGCATTTGAACATAATAATAAAATGAGAATTCAGAAATTGCTTTTATTAATAACTCAGTGTTGCCGCCTCGAGTAAAATTATTGTCTGACATCTCTATCTGGTTTCTTGTCTCACTTTGATTACCCTGTCAAACAAATCAGCCTTCGTCCCTGATCAGATTGAAGTCATTCTCAACTGCCCAACCCATGCTCTGTGCCCCCCCCTCCACACACACACACCTAGACACACACACAGACACATACAGAGAGAGAGAGAGGGAGAGAGAGAGAGAGAGAGAGAGAGAGAGAGCAATAGAAAG